TCTTTGCGGGCCATGGCAGACATGGAGAATATTCCGACCTTACGATAACTTGTCAGGGCCGGGTCTTCCACGTCCACCGCATCATCCTCTGCTCTCAGTCCAAGTTTTTCGAAAAGGCTTGTGGAGGACCTTTCAAGGTACATCACATCCAACCCCAGCTTTCCGCCCAAGGTTGGCTAGACGGCCTTACCAGACAGCTTAAACACCGCATATAATTCCAAATCCCAAAACTGGACCAGTACGCTTAATGCTAACGCGCTTAACAGGAGGCATCCACCAACACGATCGATCTGCCGGAGGATGATCCGGACCTTATCCAGAAGCTCCTCGACTTTGCTTACACCGGGGATTACAACACCAGTGCAGTCCCGATTGTGGAGGAAGACGAACCATCGCAAATCGACACGAGTATGATTCCAGAGGAAGATGACTACCACACGAATTCCAGCGATCGGCATTATAATGGTATTATCCGCAATAAAATATTCGCTCGCTTAACCTTTGGGCGATCACCGCAAGTCAACTCAGGTTCTAACAACTTTGCCAACAGCTATAGGCGAGCCCCAAACTACCGACAATACCTGTGCGGTCCTGTTCAGCGAGGCTAAGATCTACATTATGGCGGACAAGTTTATTTTTCCTGCGCTGAAGACGATGAGCATTGATCGGTTTAAAAAAAGCCGCCGATTGCGCCAAGAGTCTTGACAGCTGGCATTCTCGTAGCTTTCCCGCAGTCGTCGAAGAAGTTTACAGCTGTACGACTCGCTCTGATCTGGCCTTAAAGGAGATCCTGTGCCACCTACTCATTACTAAGCGTACGGATAAAGAGCTGTGGTCCTCAATGCAGCCTGTCATCCGACGTTATGGAGATTTCGCCGCAGGCGTCCTGAACTACTGGAACTACCATACTACAGCGTCAAACACCTTCTGTCGGAGGTAGGCCCGTGCCCAATGCACGTGCCCTACCAGGCCCATTTAGCCCTCCCGGGCCTGTGCCCTGCACAGGCTTTCAGCCTAGTGCACAACACAATCCACGTTCCAGGCAGTGTTGCCTGCATTTCACCTTCCACACCTTCGGTTCCTATAAGGCTCCTACTGCAGAAGAGTGGGCGCAGAGGGAGACTCAGTTCATGAGCATTGACGGTTAACGTGCTTCAGATCCCGAAGACGGGCTTGCGAAAGCTGTGAAGGCTAAAGGGGTTTGCGGGGCCTGTATCTACTAGGTTAGGCGGCGGTTGCAGATTGCTAATACGGGAGAGAATCCGGAACCTTTCGCGTGGTAAGGCGGCCCCAGGTGGCAGAATAGCACTTCCTAGCTTCGGAATTGACCCAAATCCCCATCTAAACAAGCATATCCAGCGATCACTTTGCTTTGGCCAGGTGGGGGGAGGTTGCCGGCTGTGATGGCGCGGCGTGCCTTGTTGGGCAGACGCAGCCATATCTCGTTTGCACCAAGGTACTAAGCCGAACGTGGGGTACAAGTCGGACGAATTGTGCTTGATATACGAATATACCTAGCGCAATCTTGGGCCGCTCGCCGTAAACATCGACAGCCGCGTCCACCAAACGCAGACGCTATCTCTATTGCCCGTGGCGATGACGAGGAGGAGCTTTGTCATGGCATGGCATGGGGTCTGGCTGACTCAGCCGTGCACGTGCCCCACAGCCTGGCATTCAAGTGCGGTCACGAGTATCGCCATCTTGTAGATTCCCTCGTTCCCTCTCTATCTTCAATTCTAAGGTCTACTTGGTAGATTACACGGTTCCATTGTGCCGGTCCGTAACAGCGGTTAATATATGCCATTGCACCAAAGCCAAAATGGAAGTGTTTGCGAGTCGTCACCTTCACCAAAAGGCGTGCGGCCGGGGCATAGATAATGCCGGGCGGTGTGATAGGCCCTGTACGAGAGCGGCCGAGTCGCTGTGGGTAATGTCGGACCGGCGGCAAGGATTTTCTAATCGTTGCCTCGTTGCGCCAAGCGGAAGAACAGTGATGATATATTTGCCGCTGTACGAGTCCATATCAATAGGGACAAATACCTCAAGCCAGAGACCAGCGTGCGGTTGGCGCTAGGAGCGCGGCTGCATGTGATGATAGACATATCGCGACTGTTTTCCCTTCTGGCGCCGCCGTGCTGGACATGCCCATTTATTTTGGTGTTCAAACTCGGAATAAATGGGGCGATCAATTGAGTAATTGCGTGACGGGCGCGGCTTGAGGTGGCCAGGCGCAGTAGCACAGTGTTACAATTGAAAATCATTACGCGCACTGTCGTCGTCGAGGCGAACTGTGTGGCAACTTCCTCGCGCTTTTTCGGGTGTAGCTGGATTGGGTAAGCGATTGCCCGAGGTACTTGGGAGTAACGAAGGGTACCTGAGCCCGCAGCCGTAACATGCAATACTTAGCTAATTATATCAAACTTGGACTTTGGGCCCTCTTAAACGTTATCCAATCATACGGCGTGTAGGCGGCCTTTTGCACGCGCGGGTACCTCAGCGGTACCGTTCTGCAAAGTACCTTGCCCGCGAGGGGCCCTGCCTGCCGTGACAGCGAGCTTGTCGGAGCAGATGAGTTGGCCAAACTTGAGGCCGACCGGAGGGCTGTCTGGCTTGGCATTGTGTCTGCCCGCTCGCAGCATCCAGAGGAACGCAACACGATCTATGTAATCGGTAGAATAGACTATCAAAAGGTAGAGTTAAAGGAAGGGTTCGGTGCCTTGCACCTAGACCCAGGATTGAAGTTTTACCCTTTGTGCACGGACCTAACCGCCCGGTCGGTGCACACAGTGGATCCAGTGGGTGGAGGCCTGCCAAGGCCCGCTGATCCATCACACCTGGGCCGTGATATTGCCACACGGAGCTGTCGCCATCTAACAAGCATTGGCTTCGCAACGCTCTTTCACATTCTTGGGCCTTCTATTTGCCACGTTTTAGGTATATAATTAAGGGCAGGCAGTAGGTGGTGGGTGGGGAGGTGGTAAAGTCGTTATTTGAAAAGTTTCGCAACGGCCTCGCGCCCGTTTCGCGCCGCCAACGACAGCGGTGTCTGCCCCTTTTCATCCTTCGAATCGACGTCGACCTTGCCCGTGGCGAGCAGAAGCTTAACAACGGCCTCGCGCCCGTTTCGCGCGGCATATAACAGCGGCGTCTGCCCATAATCATCCTTCGAATCGACGTCGACCGCCCATGGCGAGCAGCAGTTTAACGACGGCCTCGTGCCCGTTTTCCGCGGCTTGCGACAGCGGCGTCTGCCCATAATCATCCTTCGACTCGACGTCGACCTTGCCCGTGGCGAGCAGCAGCTTAACGATAGCCTCGTGCCCTTTTTCCGCGGCATATAACAGCGGCGTTTGCTTATAATCATCTTTCGACTCGACGTTAACCTTGCCCGTTACAAGCAGCAGCTTAACGATAGCCTCGTGCCCGTTTTTCGCGGCCCTCGACAGCGGCGTCTGCCCCCAATAATCCTTCGACTCGACGTCGATCTTGCCCGTGGCGAGCAGCAGTTTAACGACGGCCTTGTGCCCGTTTTTCGCGGCATACAATAACGGCGTCCGCCCCCAATAATCTTTCGACTCGACGTCGACCCTGCCTGTGGCGAGCAGCAGCTTAACGATAGCCTTGTGCCCGTTTTCCGCGGCATATAACAGCGGCGTCCGCTTATAACCATCTTTCGACTCGACGTCGACCCTGCCTGTAGCGAGCAGCAGCTTAACAACGGCCTCGCGCCCGTTTGCCGCGGCCCACCATAGCGGCGTCTGCCCCTTTTCATCCTTCGACTCGACGTCGACCCTGCCTGTAGCGAGCAGCAGCTTGACGACAGCCTCGTGCCCGTTCTCCGCAGCATACGACAGCGGCGTCCGACCTTCCCCATCTCCAATATCGATCTCAGTGCCAATTTTGTCTGCCCTTTGCAAAATAACACTTAACAGCCCTACCGCCTGATACCTCGACGCAACGTGTACCAGGCTGGTCCCTCCTGGTGGACGATCACGGGAATATCCATCCAGGATCTTGTAAACACGCACCCATAAATCCACGAGAGCGTTTGATGGCCAAGCAAAACATTCCAAAAGATCATCTTGAGGGACATTTTTTTTATCGCTGTGCTTCGCGTGCGCCACCCACGAGGTCGTAGCGTAATGCAGGAAAGGAAAGCCGCGATACCCGTGGGGTACTGACCGACCGATCTCCTCCATTGCCAAATAGCGTATGCAGATCTTAGATAGCCGGTGGTGTGCCATTCCGATTGCCGCATCGGTCGACCCTGAGCTGCTGTCCAGAGCGGACAGACCTTTGTCGACGAAGTAGTCCTTAACGGACTGGTGGATAAACTGGACAACTTGCGCATTGGATGACGGCACGATCTCTGCGAGACCGCGGCCAAGCGTCTGAACTCGCCTCTTCATCCTCTCCATCCTGTCACTATCGGATTCATGGTTTTCGGTGCCTTGGCATTCTTGCAATAACCGGTGTGGACAATCGCCCTCGATAATCATAGCCCATCGTAGTTCGGCCACTGACAAGGGACGCGTGGCAAAACAGATCCACTGGATCAGCTTTAGGGAATCCGATTTCATGCCCTGAAGGAGTGTGCGGTATAGTTCATCGAGATCCGGAGGGATAGACTGGATTGCCGCTTCAATCGCACGCAATTCTTCACCCTGACGGTCAAGGTCCAGAATTTGCTTCACCACGAGACGCACCCACATGAAAACGCCTTGTGCGCGGTTTGTGATCAAAGCCGGAATCGTAGATGACGTTCGTTTGCTGAAGGTGGAGAGCTGGTTTCGCACGTAGGTCGAGATATCCTCGCGATTCTGATGCTCAAGGCATATTTCGAACGCACAGTCCAGGGCTAGAATCGGGTAGTGACGACAAGTGAAGCAGACGCGAAACTGTAAGCCGAGGGACGGGGGGCTCCGGAGCAAGGCCTCAAACCATTTGACCAGGTCGACCGCATTCTGTTCGCCACATTCGTCTAACGCGTCGACAAACAACCAGACTGAGCGAGTCTTCAGGACGTTCGGAAGAGACAGCTCGAAAAAGCGCTGCAGCTGTTCCTGATGCCACTGCCACTTTTCACCCGGTTGACCGATGTCCTTGCGGTTTTTTTCGAAGGTGTCGACGAGATCTGACAGTGCGTCGGGGGCCTGCCTGAGGACCTGATGAAGGAGAGACCGGGAGAGGCCAAGAGGAGTTCTTTGGAGTTCATCGCCGCGACCGTGGAAGAAGAACGAGAGAACGAGGGTGCTCTTTCCGGCGCTGGATACGGTTCCGTTGTCGAGGGCGTATTTTAGCAATGTCGACTTCCCGGAGCCCGGCTTTCCCTTGATCCAGAGCAGGCCTCGATCGCAAGCGGCCCATCTCCGATACTCTTCGTGTCGAAGCAGCCACTCGCATGTCCCCGTGACGGCGCGGTCAATGTCATGGGAGCGATTGTGCATTTGCGGAAAGGCGAGCGATTTGAGGCAATCTTGTGATGGCTGTGGAGGTTCATGTGTGTCTGGGCGATACGATTAGACTTGAACAGTGAAAATACGTCAATGTTGACTACAATGGGAAATGGAAACTAACATGTTACGTTGAAATATGTTCGCTGGTCTATCTAGCTAGTCAGCCTCCTTGCCTGCCTTCAGTCTGAAAAGTCGTTGCCGTCATCCGAAGACTTGGGCTTTTTGGGGCGTATGTCCCACAGAAAGTGGTAGTTCGATGGATTAAGCAATTGATAATTCCTAAACAAGATTCAAACTACTTGCCGATACTGATATTGCCACCCACGTTGCCACCCACGGCCACTGCCCCATCCCCGTTTGTAATGGTGTTGTGGCTATTGGTCGCGGCGTTGTGGCTGTCGTTGACGTTGTGGCTGTTGGTCGTGGCGCTGTTGCGGCCGTCTGAGTTAAGCCTCCGTCTCTTGGAGACTCTTTCCATGGCGCCGCCTGGCACCTCGTATCTGTTTAGGATTGCCGCGGCCACCGAAGCCGCCGTTGCCGCAGCGAAGTTCTGCCATTCCTTGTTTTTGTGGCTGTCGGCGTAATCACAGATGCCCTTGACGACGACACAGGGGACCTCCTTCCACGCCCCGGCCCCTTCCATTTCGAAGGCGATCACATCGTGCTCTTTGGCAACCTCGTCGCGGTGTTTGCCCGATTTCATAATCGCGTTGCCGCAAGCCACCCTACCCATGAAAACCTGGGGGACGAGCTCCACCGGGCGCTCCTGCTGTCGATTCTGTCTCGGGGCACAGCGGCCTGTTTTACACCCAGCCTCGTCACATGAGAGCTTGGAGGCCCGTTCGCAAAAGCGCGGGGGGTCTGCGTCACAGTCGTCACAGTCTTCCCTGTGGTGACTGTGCTCGTAATCCGCACGAAACATCCTGTCGGTAGCGTCGGTAGGAGGGCTGTAGCTGGTCCCCCACTCCTTGTCGGCGGCGGTGGCGGCGGCTTGCAGAGTCACCAGATTCGCCCTTGCCTTTTTCTGCAGGCGGTCCAGCTCGTCCTTGCCTTCCAAAAGCTCGAGCAGTCCGCGGATATCGTTGTTGGTTTGTCCTAATGTGTCCTCGGTGGACCTAACGACGAACTTGTCCGGGTATCGCCTGCCGAAATCATGGTTGACGATGCTTTTGCTGACAATCACGTCACCCAAAAAGGCGTCCCGACCACGGATCTGGGGCAGACCTCCGCAAACACCGACGATTAGGGCAAGCTTGATGTTGGTATAGCTCGACTGCAAGCTCCTTGCGCCTACCGCCGATGCCTCCATCCCCATGCCTGGGAGTAGAAGGAGTATGACGGCATGGTTCCCAATGCGGCCCGTCGTGTATGTGTTGGTGTCGCCGGTCTCCCGTCCGTACTTTGTCTCGTAAATGTCGTCGAAAAGGAGCCTCACAGCGTCCGATTCGATGCGCAACGCACAGATGATGGCTAGATGAAAGCCGCTGCGGTCGATCGGCGGCAACATGGTAATTGGCAATAGGAGAGCATCGAGACGGGGGTGAGAGGGTACCGAAGAGAAGAGATGTGACAAGGAGGAGAAACGGCAGATATGCTATGATCGAGCCTTTTGTCTTGGGCAAGGTAGCACCAGCAGGGTAGGAAGAATCGAATGGTACACGGAAGCCGGAAATGTATGGACCAAAAACAGTGCCAGCATAAAACGAGCTGGCCAGAGTTTAAACGGCGGGACAAGAGGCGCACGGAATGCGGATGCAAAGGAGGGGTAAAAAAAAAAGGGGGGGGGGAGGAGGAGAGAGAG